CTCCATGATTGTGTCGGTTTCCTAGGGTTGCCATAACAGAGTACCACAAATTAGGCAGCTTGAAACAACAGAAATTTATTATCTTACAGTTCTGGAGGCCAGAAGGCTGAAATCACCGTGTGAGCAATGTTGGTTCTTTCTGGAGGATCTGAGGGAAAATCGGTTCTGTGACTCTCTCCTAGTTTTGTGTTGTTGCCAGCATTTCTTGGCTTCTAGTTCTACCACTCCAGTCTCTTCCTCCATTGTCACATTGCATTCTCCCTGTGTGTCTTTGTATACCTGAGTCTTTACATGACCTGCTTATAAGAACAATAGTCATCAGATTTAGAGTCCATTCTAATCCAGTATGACCTAATCTTAACTTGATTACATCTGCAAAGACCCTATTTCCAAATAAGATCACATTCACTAGTAGTGGGAATTAAGACTGCTATATATCTTTTTGGGGGGACACAATTCAACTGTGAACAACACTGTAATGATGGTTTGGCTGGGTATAGAATTCTAAGATCAAAATAATTCCTACTTAGAACTTTGAAGACTTTGCTCCACTCTAGTTTAGAATCATTTTTGTTGATGAGAAATCTGATAGTTTAATTCTAGTTCTTTTGTTGGTGTCTTAATGTTTTTTTTTTAATCTTGGAACATTATTAAGATTTCTTTATCCTCCTTGTTCTGAAATTTCAACATGATAGGGGCTCTTTCAGTTTGAAGATTTGTGTCTTTCCACACAGTTCTCCCTTCTCAGGACTGGAAAATGTTCAGTTATTTCTTTGATGATTTTCTCTTTTTGATCTATTCCCTATTTTTGGAAACCCTATTGTCTGGTGTATCTGGCAGAGTTCAGTCACAAGTCACAGAAGTAGAATACTAAGAATGATATAAAAAAAGAGATAATAAGTAAATTATAGGGATTTGACCTTACACAGTTGCAGGAGCTGGTGAAACAGTCTTGTTTGTGCTGTTTCTTCTGCATCTGGTGCTGACCTTGAAGTTACAGGACAGGTAGTAGGAGTTAAAAGATAGGCATGAAGTGAGGAGAGCAGGACAACTGGGACCCATGAGGAACAAGCTGGAACCTCTCTCTGTCTTTTATTGGAACTTATGATGGCTTCTCCCTGTTGCTAAGTCTCCAACTTTGCAGCCATGGATGCCCTGCAGGAGAAACCAGTATTCTTGTTACAGAGCCACACTTACACCTGGCCCAGGATTTGGAAAAGTTGAAAGAAGAGATCATGTGGGAGCTGGACATGTGGGTCCTGCAGTGTTTTATACTTGCAATGTGAATAAGTACATCTCTGAAACTGCATGAGCTATAACAGCACCAGACCAATGTCAACCTTGGGAGAACAAACTTAGCTATTGCTTTACTTCCACCTTCCAAATGTCATGCAGGTTTCTCTTGTGACCAGCCCTAACTAACACATAGAGGAGTGACTTCTGGGAAATCGAGTTTAACTTAGCCTTGTTGACATATTCCAAAGCCACCAGAGTTGGGTGTTGGACTTCTTGAATTGATCTTTTTTTCTTACTTTTTCTTTCATATTTCCTAATTTTTTGTCTTAAAATGCTTCATTCTGGGTGGTTTTCTTTATCTCCCAAATCTTTATTTCTATTTTGGCAATTACATCTTTGATTTCCAAGAGTTTTGTCTTGTTCTCTGTTCATTTTTTTATAACATCTTCTTGTTGTTTAGAAATGTAATATCTTCGCAAATTTCCCTGAGACTGTTCTATTTTTTTCTTTAAGTATCTTCTGTTCTATGAATCCTCCATCCATTTTTTCTGGGATGAATACCCTTGGTACTGCAAATTTTCCTCAAATATCTAGTATTTCGTTCCCCATTTAATTTTAATAGTAGGGCAATAAGAAAGCTGACTAGAGCTTTGGTGTACATGAGTGGGTCTTGTTCACTGGTACATTAAATTTAGGATGAGCAGATGGATAGAGGCTCCTTACCTTTAACCTGAAAGCCAAAATATGAATATTTTGTCTGGAAGCACAGCACCTGCTTAAAATGTCCTGTTCACTCTCAAAGTTTTTAAAAACTTATTTATCAAAGAACCCTTTGATATATTTTCTAGAAGTCAACATCTGGCATTTTTCTTGCAGGAATGAAGTCAGGGTCAATCATCTCATGTACAGATATTCCATCAATGCCCTGATTTTATTTTCCACCTTTGCCTTCATCAAACCTTCCAGCTGGGGTTTCAGAGCCTCTCTGGAGCTGGAAAATTGAACTCCAATTTCCACTTGAGCCTTCTTCACATATCCTAGGGAGTCTGATCTGTTTCATATATTAGCTGTGTTAGGTCTTCAGAAATTTACTAAAATCCCTTGTTCATTGACAGACCTCTCCCTACTCTGTTTATTCCCTTACTGCTACTTCAGTGAAATCTCAGAGGGGTGAAGACAAATTCACATGCCCAGACCTCGTTCTTAAGTTGGAGTTTGACTCTAAAATTAGAAAAGATAACAATAAAGATAATTTACAAAATACATTCAAGTTTTAAAAATTTCTATAAACACACAGTATCTTGACTTTGGCATACAGGGGATTTTATTCCTTAAAATATGACAATCCTTTCCTCAAATAAGTGTTAAAGACAGGCCACATTAATCCTTTACTGGTTTTCCTTTCCCGTGGGATAGTACAGGATTAGAAGATAGTAGGGCCCTGGGTGAAAAAAAGGTGGAAGGGACGTTGAGTATAATGCAATGAAATAAGAATTTATTTTCTTTAGCTCAGTGGTCCTCAGTTGAGAGCTATTTTGCCCCTTAGAGATCATCTGGCAATGTCTGAAGACATCTTTGGTTGCCACGAATGAGGATGTTCTACTGGCATCTAGTGGGGAGAAGAGAGGGATGCTGCTTATCATCCAACAATACACAGGACAGCCTCTAATAAGGAATTATCCAGTTGAATGTCCCAATAGTGCTGAGCTTAAGAACTTTACTCTTGCACAACAATGTGAACATACTTAACAATACTGCACTATACACTTAAAAATGGTTAGGATGGTAAATTTTATGTTATGTGTAATTTACCACAATTAAAAACAGGAACATGGGTCCTTATTTTCTAGGGAAAATCTCTATTTATAAGTCAGCTTTATGCTATTTTGATAGGAATAAGAAAATTTAACTTCTATGCTCAGAGCTTAACTTTATTGTTAAGATTGGAATATGGGATAAGATATAATTATGAGTCCATATGTCAGATACCGTAGGAGAGTCAGTCAAGCTACTGTGTCAGGGATTTGCAATCAACAGATGTAGATGGGCTCTGGCTAACTTAAGCAGTGGACAAAATTTATTGGAAGGCAATGCAGTCAGTTGCAAAATGTGGAAGAGAAGCCCTCTGCACCTAAGCTGTTTGTAGGACAGGACCCAGGGCCACTTTGGGCATGTATGGTGCAGGAATGAACAGGCAGTGTCTCCAGAACCCACTGCCAGAAAGAATTAGCCTCCAGTGTTTTCAGAGAAGTGTCTGATAGGCCAAACTTGGGTCCTGTCAGCCCTGGCAGCATGTGGCATCCTAAGTGATGTCCCACTAAGACTGTATTCAAAGGGGAGAGGCAGTCCCTGTCCCCAAAAGTAGGATGAAAGGATGCTGAGCAGGTAAAACAAGTGATATCCACTTCAGCTGCAAGACAGACACTGCCTTCTGCTGCCCCAACCAAAAGGCACACAGACAAACAAACAAAAATATGTGTTAATCACACCTACATCGGCTTATGTGATAGTTATGGAAGTCATTTAACATTTCTTCATCTGTTTTGTCATCTACAAAATGAGGAACTTGAATTCAATCACTTCTAACTTCCTTTTCATTCTGGTATTATAGATTTATACCATTTTAAAAGGGTTTTTGAACTCCTATTCATATATACTTCACATTTTGCTTAGATTATAGATTCCCCCTTTGATCTGATCTATTCCTAGAATGGCTTCCTAATGGCTTTGGTGGTATTTCTGAGTTTTGGGCTATTGATCTATTTTGAGTGGAAAAATCCTTACATGAAATGTTAAAAAATAAATGCATCTCTTTAGGGTGTTTGGGGGGTGCATACTTAACATCAGTGAGAAAGTAAATTCTGATTCTTCATCCCTCTATTAACAGAGCAAACCAAGCATGTAAAAATATAGAAGAGGAAGCGTGGAGGAGGAAGAAAGGTTGAAATGGCAAAGCCTTTGCCAGCTCTGTGTCCTGCTAAAGGGTTTAGGCTGCATGGAGTGCCTCTCCCAGAGAAACACGTTAGTGAGTCTCCACGCATGGAAAGGGAGAGCTGGAGCTGTGAGGGCTTCAGGGAAATGAGTTTGTGGGGGAAGTCAGAAGCAATGGAGTCTAGAGATTTGAGGATTAAGGAGAGATGTGTGAAGAGGTTGAAGCCTGCAGAGGTAGGTGGCCAATGAGAAATTCCAGATGCTGGGGTAGGTAAAGGATTTGAAGAATGAGGATAATATCTGATTTTAATTTCATTGTTCTCATGCATTGTAAAGTCTCACTGTTGATGCAAATCTTCAGCAACGTCAAGAGTCTCACAAAAGCCTTGTAGGACTGGTTTGGAGAAAGTTAAAGAGAAGAGGAGGAAAGCAATATCTTGGTTGGCATGAGGCAGAAGAAAGGGAACACAGAGCTGCTGTGGCAGAAGAGATGCAGTGAAATCAAGAGGTCAGGGGTAAAAACTTGGAGCCAAACTGACTATGAGAATGTGAATCCTTGGGAATTCACACACATTTTGTGGGAAGAATTGGACTTTCCAGAATACTCAAAGTGAGAGCTTGGGCCAAAAGGATAAGAGGAACTTAATGTACCTTTGGGCTACATTAATGAAAATAAATAGTTGCAGCTCCTGACTTACCCACCTGGTGATAGAGTGAGGTGCAGCTGAAGATTCAAAATAATGTGGTGGAATTTTCTTTTTCTGGTCTCAGTCTTTGACTTCATTGTACAGCATGCCTTCTCTTGACACAGAAACAATGCTCCCAAATATAAATCATTTTACTATGGAAAAAATTTTTATTTATCTGTGTATTTAACATTCATTGACATTTGCTAAGTTCGATTTGCTTGAGGAGAGTTATAGATGAAGACACAATTGTGTCATAAAAGAGCTTATCCCCAGAGGGAAAGAAAGACGTACAAAAACCAACCTCAATACAGGGAAGGATGAAGTAAGTACTAAATGGAGAGCAGGAACAGCATTCATCAATTCTGGTTGGGGAATAATGATATAGAATCCAATGAATGATTGTGAGTTCTCCCTGAAGTTTCTAATTCATTCTTGAATCACTTCTCTCTCCTGGTAAAAGGAAAATAAGAACATTCTGACATGGTGTAAAACACATAAAAACCATCCTAAGACTATAAAAACACAAGAAGTGTCGCAGTACGTACAATCTATCATTCACCCAGCCCAGTTTTCTGTGCCTGGGACAAAGGTTTCTGAAGGACAACCTCTAAAGGCTGAGAAGGCAGTATTGATAGAGTGTAGGCCCTGGGGTCAGATGTCTTTGCATCCCATCTCTGTCATTTTACCAGCTGTGTGACCTTGGGTGAGTTACTCCTTAGCCTTTCTTAATGTCAGATTATCAATCCATAAAATGAGGGTAATAACAACTCATTGGACTGTTGGATTGAATGAATTCATGCACGTGCAGTGCTTGGTACACTGTAAATACTTGGTGCATTTTAGTTACTATTTTTATTATTCTGAAAAGAAGATTGGGAATTTTACATTCATGAGTTTAATCACATTATTTTGCATTTATATTTTCTGTTCATATCACTTCTTGGATTAATGAACTCCCTAAATTTAAAAACTATATAATTAAATCTTACTTTCATTTGTAGCAGAAATTACTTCTTTCCATCTTTGACTAGGGGCATCTCATTGTCTAATACTTAAGGATTTAATGCACCAGTCTGTCCTCTTTATGTTAAATCTAATCAGTCGGCCTCAGAGTCTCTTTCAGTCCCTTTCTAATTTTCTCAAGGTTGTAAGATCATTACGTGTGCCATAGAGTATTCCATGAGTTCCATAGTTTTATGTAAGGGGAGATAGTATTTTCTGTTTCATTGGTGATAACTTCACCAACAATTGTTAGTGTTTTGTGAGCTTTTTGACAGCAGCAGCTCTTTGAGTCAGAACTTTAAAGTACACTTACATGGTATTTTCCAAAATGTGTTCTCTGAAATGCTATTCTGTGAGAGCTCAATGAGTGTCCCATTAAAGGGATTATAATTTAGGAAGCACTGAGTTAAGCAAGAGTTTGTTAGGTACTCTTAATATCCTATGCACCTGAAATGCATTTGGTAGGGTTTTTTGATCTTGTTTCTCCATAGCAAACTTTTTTGGGAATTGTCTTGTAGGAATAGTATTCTGGGAACACAGTTTTGGAAATGCTGATTGATAGTAAATTCTAGGTTCAACTGATAGCTTACATCCATTATCCTATAGGAATAATTATCGCCTGAGGACATTTTCTATTATGTGGAAGTGCTTTCACTGCTATTCTGATCATTTAAAGAGTCTTACGTGATCATTTTGCAGTGTATTCTTATCATCTTGATATATTGTTAGAAAAGTTTAATTATATCTGTGGACTTAATGATACCATTCTGTATTCTCTTTTCCAAATTACTTTTAAAAGCTTACTGCCAAGTGGTGACAGGCAGAGATATACAGTAGAAAGAGTATGAGATCACACAGCCCTGGCTTGGAATCATGGTCCAAGCACTCGGTAGCCACATGGCTTTGGACAATTCCTTTAGCCTCTTTGAATCTTACTATTCTCATCTTTTTCTAGAGATGTGGCTTTTTATCTTTGTTTCCTTTCTCATATTACTACTTCTGACTGACTTGATCAAGCAAATACAAATCAGCTTATTCTTTTAAATTGAATTTGGAACTTGTTTAAAACAAAATAGTACAGATTGGGATGTGAGATATTCATAAGCATCATGACCAGTAATCATAAGCATTGCTGTCCATGGTTACCGCCTTTCTCTACACGTATATGCAAGCAGGGAAGAGGGAAGTGTTATGCTCCTCAGTCCATCCCCACAGGGCGAGACTCTCCTGAAGAATTTGAAGCGAGCAAGAAAGAGTAGTGAGTGGCAGTTTGAAAAAAAAAAAAAAACCTTGACAGTCAGTTACTTTCGTGATTTCACCAAATTATACTGTATTACTGAAAACTTAGAATCAATATACTCAGAGTATAAAATAGCCTGGTTAAATTTTGAGTATCTGAAGTCTCAAATTTCTCCCCTCAATAGGCTTTTAGATATAAATTTCAGTGTGATTTTCCCAAGTAAATACCCATTTCCCAGCCTTTTTCATTCAAGCCTGCCCTAAGGAGACAGTGTGAAATCACTCTTATTTAAAATCATAAATAGTACCGTATAATTTCTGAATTCCTTTGATATCATCCCGTGAAAGTTTGAAATTCTTGGGATCTCCGTCTCTATAGGTTGGATACATCACGGCACTGGGGTCAGATGAATGTCCCAGACCCAAAGAATGGCCAAATTCATGAGTTGCAGCGAACAGGAAATTAATTCCTACAACCAAAGAGTGACAGACGATAACCATAAACATGACTATATATATAAAATAAAATAAGATACAATATGTAATATCAAATAACAGAAAATAAAATAACTATAAAATGCCTAACTCGTCAAATCCTCTACAGTTTACTCATTTGTTTCTAGGTCTTCAGAAGGTGGGAGGGTTTAGAAGGAGAATCAGAATGGTAGAGCTTTAATCTCATCATCACTTCTGTTTTTTCAAAAAAGATCATGTTTTTCTGCCTATTTGCTTCTTATACAATCACTCAGACAGGAGTATTCTGTATGGGAAGCAAAGGCTGTAGAGGAATTAAGACCCACGTTTGAAATCCAGTTCTGCCTCTTACTAGCTGGATAACGCTGGACAAATTAATTGATATTGCTGAGTCTCAGTTCCTCATGTGTTAAACAGAAATAATTCCTACTTGTAAATTTGTTGTAACAATTAGAGTTTTCCAATATCTAGAAAATAACGGCTATTCGGTAAATGATAGTGACTTTGAATAGCAGGAGAGAGAAAGTTGGCTTTGAGAAAGCCAGACTTAAAGGCAGGGTCTCCAGGCAATGCTGGATTTTGCTTTGGATTTATTCAATCATGTTACATATATGCTTTTCTCTCCCTCAGACACATAGAAAGGCTCTGCATATAACGAGGAAGGTGTGAGCCTGCGAGTTCGAGTGGCCAGAGTTCCAACTGTGGTGCGCTAGATTGAAGGAAGCTGCTTTTAGCCTAGCTTGAGCAGTAAGAAAGGAGAATGAAAAAGATATGCAAGGTGTGAAATGGAGGCAGTGTCACAATTTTACATAGGCTAGATTTTCGCAGCAGGCGTCACTACAGTGGTGAATTTCCATTAGCAAACATAAATACTAATTTCCCTTTCAGGGCCAGTTAGTAGCCATTTTTTTTTTCTTAAGAATTGTCTCCAATTAGGATTACTTATGCCAAAGCTTCTCTTCACTGGTTTTCTGGTATGTCTATAATCTCCTACTTTGTAAGGTGATGAATATGATGGGCTGGGTTATGGTGTAGGTCCTTTCTGAGCAATAGTCTCAGAATTGTCTATAATTCTTAAGTATTGTAGTTGCTACTCCTATTTCTCCTACAGTTAAAAAGTTATTTTGGGGAAATAGAAAGAAGGAGCTATAATTTTTGAATTATTAATATATTCCAAGCACTCTGCTAAGCACTATATAAGCATTATCTTGTTTGCTTCAAGCAACAATCCTGTGAGGTGGAAATTATTTATAGTCCCATTTCATAGACGAGGAAACTGAGGCTCAGAGAAGTTAAATAACTTGCCCAAAGACACATGGCAAGTATTTGGTAGAGGTAATGCAAACTGAGCTCAACATGCTTGACTCCATGGCCTGAGCTTCCATCTTCTGTATGTGTAGCATTTTAAACACCTTAAATGAAATAATTCATTTAAAGCATGTAGTACAGTGGTTGACAGTTAGCAAGGGCTCTATAATTATTATTAATTAAAGTAATGATAGAATTAAAGTTAGAATAACAAGTTCAGGATTTTAAAAAGGATGTGTAGTAGAAGAGATACGGGATGCTATACCTATACTGCTACCATCAGTCCAGCGTTCATCCTCATCAAAGTGAGCATCTCCTCCAAGGCCTGGCCCAGGTGAAAAGGCATGAGCCAGTGTGTTTCCTGGTCCATCAAATGGGTAGGGGTCCCCGTGAGCTGAAAGAAAATAGGGTGATTGTTTTAGTGACTGAATTTATCGCCAGTCATTTTATTTTTTAGTTTATGTGAGCATTGAGGCTAGAAAGAGCAGCCGGGTCCAAACAGTTGGCATTTGTTGTTATGAGCAGCCAGCTGCATACACAGGGTGGTTGGGGTGTTTATTTGTCACAGGCACTTTTTCTTTCACAGAACCACTGCTCCTCACTGACGACCACCATTTATTGAAAGTCTACTGCATATGGGACTTTAAATACTTTCACGTCTGACTTATGGTGGCATGTAAGTGCTAAGTTTGATCACTTTGCTTGGCTGGATGATGGCAGGATGGAGGACCAGTGTGAGTACTGCATTTTGTACCATTTAGTATAATTTAAAAAAAAACTTAGCTTATTGTTTGTGGGTATAGTAGGCAGTCTCTTGGAGAACGAAGCTCAAGGTGTCTTAAAATGGATTTTGATAGTGCTTTTATTTGTGATGAAGAGCTATTTATTTTCAAATTGGTATCAGACCATATCTGATTTATCCAGTTCTTAAAAAGCATGGAGTGTCATGATCAGTACTTTCTGTAACATTTTATTTGGTATTGTCAATATTGTGGCTGAAGATCAAATTTCAGCTAAATTCACAGCACCTAGGCAGCTCAATATTAGACCAAAAAGAGCAATATTTTTCTCTAAATTTGCACCATGAAACACTAGCAATTAATAACAGTTCATGTACATCTCTTTAAGCCCTTTTATGTGAAAGTTCTCTATTTTTCTGCTTTCTTACTACATGAAGGGTTTTGGGAACAGGCCACAGGAGCTGTCCTGTTTCTTGGAGAACACTTAAGGCCTTTGGAGGTTGTGACCCCTTCTCTTGGTTTAATGTTGATATTAGATATATTTTAAACTGCCCCATAAATATATATATATATGTGTATATCATGATTCATGCTACAAGCCAGGGGTTGGCAAACTTTTTCTGTAAAGGGACGGATAATAAGCAATTTAGAATTTGTGCGTTTGAGGGGTTCTAAATTAGTGGACTAGAAAAAGTAGTAATATTGCTACATATATATACACACACATATCATTAAAGATATTAAATCCTCAGAAGAGGAGGGCACAGGTATAAAACAACAAGCAAAACAGTGCACAGGATTCGCTTACAGGAATCTTCCTTACCTCCTCTTGCAAAGCCAATCATGATATCAGCAGTTCCCCAGCTAACTCTCTTGAAGTGCAGTGGGATCTCTTCGCTCCACATTTTCAAGGCCTTTGCCACTAATTGATTCACTATGACAAGTGATAATTCTCGAGGATGTGATACGACCCTGGTGGCAAACGAGAAAACAATGCTTGACCTCTTAGGAGAAGAGCTTTATTGTTTTTATGAAAATGAGCCAAAGCAAAACTAACCTGTAGGTGACTACATTGGAAGTCCATTTTGGACTATCTGGGAATAGCGAGTATTCTGCAACATCTGGCACTCCACATCTGGGTTTCTGCATTATTTCTATGATGTAGGAGTTTAAGATTCCATTTACGGGCAGGCGAAAGAATTTTTGCATCTCCTTGAGTTTGGCTTCTAAACTATTGGGATCTCTTATTTTTGAACTGGATGGATAAAATCTCTTGAGATAGTCCTATTGGAAAGAGAGTAATTGATCTGTAATTCTTGTTTATTGTCTTCTTTTATCTCAGAAGTCTGCATGTCTTTGCCTCTGATTCCTATGGACTCAAATAGTGGTTTGAAGAAAGATTAGTTATATCATCACCAAGTAAAACAAGTGTTCATTAATGAGGAGAAAATTTAATATTGATAGTGAAGCAGCATCATTCCATTTCATGAGCAAAAGAAAAGAGTCTTTCCATTTCTCTTTTATCCCATCAAGTGTTTTGAGGAGAAATGCACTGTACACTTTATGAAACGTAGACGTATTTGTAATAGCCCATCAGGAAGAGTGCCCAGTGTGTCCTCAAGGGGCACAAGTAAGAACTTCCCTTGGCATCAGAGACCCTGTGGGGAGATCAAAAGTCACCTCTCCCCATCTAAGATTCTCTGGAGATCTGGTCCCAGCTGAGTTTCAAGGATCCTAAAATTTTAGTTCTGGGAAAGGATATTACAAAATTAGTTAGTTTAATGTACATATTCTCCGGGTGAAGAAACCAAAGCTCACAGTAACTAAATGATTTGCCCAGGGTCACATATTAAATTAATAGCAGAACTGGCCCTGAGTTTCCTGACTGCCAGCCCTGTGCTCTTTCTGCTGTTAAATCTCTAGTAAAATCCACTTCGAGAGGCTGCAGGATAAAGCAGGTCCCCCAGGTGTATTCCATGCACAGTTGGGTCCCTGGGAATTTCTTAAGGGACCCTACCTTCTGGATATTGGGATGGCAGTCCAGCAGCCTAAATAGGAAAAAATAGAAAGTGAGTGAAATGACAGCAGCAGCAGCAGCAGCAGCAACCTCACAAGAGCTCCATACTCTGAGCTTTACATACTTACCCCGTTTAAAACTCATAACCACCCTATGGAGCAGGTACGGCCTTGTTATTCCTATTTTACGTAGGAAGAATCATGGCTCAGAGAAGGTGCGGAAGGTCACCCCCTGAGTAACGGAAGGAGCTGGCATTTGAACTCCTGTTCTAACTCCAAAGCCCATTTCATTAGAAAAATGTATAGGGCTATAGAATGCCTGATAGTAGTGTGGAAATGATTTAAACAGCGGCTCACTCCTTGGCAGTCTAATTGGAGTAGGTGGTAATGGTTCTTGTCTCAGAACCTCTCAGGAGTAGACACTTTATGTAAGTAACCTTAGCAACATCGTGTTCTCTCTTCCTGTTACCCACGATTGGGTTTCATTCAATACAACAAATGCTTATTGTTCATCCATGACCTTAGGAATTAACCCCTTATTTAAAAACAAATAGCTTATTTTAACGCTTCCAGAGCTGCAGCCTTTGCAAAGACATCCTTTGGAAGAACTCTGTCTGTGTCCTTGAGAGGGATTTCCCCGCCTTAAGTTAAACCTAGCTTACCTCCCTCTAGTTTATTGGCAACCCGCACGCAAATAAAGGGATTCAATACTCTTGCAGGTGCACTCCTTCTGGAGAATTCGTTAGGTAGAACCATATGAATTTCCTGTTTTGGAGGTAGAAGCAGTCAAATATCAGTAATTTTGTATGGTTTAATCTAACATATTACTGGAACTTTTTAAAAGTCCAAGTTAATGTGAAATAAAACTTGACTCTTCTTATGCTTAAAGCTTAAATTTATAAACAATATTTAGGAGTAAACATTCCCTTAGTTTATCCAATAATAATTATTTGCACTTATTAGGCTGCTTATTTAGTAGTATATTGGAAGAACGTGATTTTTGAACCAGGAAAATGTCGTTGACTCCTATCTCTACCATTAGCAAGTATGTGAATCGACTTAATTTTGGTTTCTTCTTTTACTCAGGATAGTGCTAAGGATCCAGGGACACAATGTCTATGAAGTACTTTACACTCTGCAATTGTTACATATGTGAGAGTTTGGTATTGTTATCACTTCATTTATTCACTAAATTAATCCTGTGAGATATAAAACAGTATAATTATTTCCACTGGACCCATGAGAAAACAAAGTCAGAAGTTCATGCCTTGCCCGTCATCATCAGCTTGTAGGTGGCAGAGCTGTGACTTCTACCCTGCTTTTCTGATTTCAAGTCTCTCCATTACAAGTATTCCTCATCTTAAGAGGCAACTTTGCTCTTTATGCAAAGAATCAGAAATTACAATACATAACAATAACTTTGATTTATTGAGTATGAACAATGTTTCAGGTACTTTGCTAAGTGCTTCACACACCAACATTTGGTTGATACCATTATAATCTCCAACTTCCAAAGTAAAAACTGAAGCTCAGAGAAGGTTAATAACATTCCTGTGTTGATCTACATAGTGAGTGGAGGAGTCGGAACTTGAATCCAGTTTGGACAGGCTCTAAAGACTGCTCTACATAGTTACTTGATTTAAATACATATTGCCTTTATAATCAGAAAAATTACCAAAATTGAAAAGCACACTTCCAAAGCTGATGGTGAGCCCGTGGAGACCCAGGTGAGTGGGCCCGTGACATACCTGAGCCTGTTTCCACTGCAGCTCACTCATGCCTCCTGCCTCCCGGGGAAGCGGCAGGGCCAGGCTGCTGGGCAGCAGACACACAGTGCACAGCATGGCCAGCTGCATAGCTGCTGACCAGAGAGGATGGTTCTCAGATCTATGGTTGGTTTGCTGTTTTCTGCCAGAGGCTAGAGAAATTTATATAGCTTCTCAGCCCTGAATTTGAAAATAGGTGACTCATTTGAGAGTTTCTTTCTCTTCTTTTTTCTACAGAACCTTGAAAGTGTGTGTTATTTTTCATTAATCACAACAAGGAAGTAGTATGTCTTTATTGGCAGGAAGCACACAAGGTATTTGTCTTTCAAAGGATTTTTTTTCCTATCTGCTGTATAAATTTAATCCATGAGGAAACTCATTTTCCAGAATCAAATTACTGCTCAGAAATGTCTTCTCAATTTTAAATTTCAGGAAGCATTATTCAGAATGTATCGTACCACGTATCTTAAAAGAATTTTTTAAAAAATTTGAAAAGCATGGAAAAGTATATAAAACATACAAATAATCAAATAATTATTAAGCAAACATTCTGTAACAGTCACCAAAGTCAAGAAACAGAACACTGCCGACATCCTGTGGTTCTTTACAGCGGAGAGTGACGGCAGATGTGACAGATGGAAATCCTGCTGTGATTGGGTCAGTGGCCCCCATAATGCCTGTGCTACATTCCCTCACCTCCCAGATACCTTAGTGGAGGACTGGGAATTCCCTTCTTTATGTCTCCCTTTAATTAGGTTATTTCTTTCCTTAGTGGTCATCATTACTCTGAATTCCTCTTGAATTACATGAAAAAATATCAAACAAACAAAAATCCTCAAGCATGGGCTTTGCTGTTCGTCTACCATTCTCACCATGCTTCGCATTTGGTAGTAACAGGTTTCTCCAAAGCTAGACCTTCAACTTGGAAATCATTTTATCCAGTCTTTCTCTTCTAACGTCCTGACTCCGACTGCTAATGAGCCACCAGTAGGGCTGGCTTGATCCTTGGAACACATAATGGTTATTCTACAGATAGCAATTAAAGACTCATGATCTAGAGATGCTAGTTCAACTACTTCATTTTTATCAAAGATGAAGTTGAAGCCAAGATGACAGATGAACTTATCTTCCCAAGATCACACAGCTAGTTAATAGTAGTCCTAATTCCCAGTCCTGTGCTTTTCCTATCACATCAACTGCCAATTCATTTTGTAGTTACATTACACATTTCTTGGGAGGGACCATGGCTTTTGACCATAATACATCAGGGGAAACACCCCATATATGCTGGAGCTGAAAAATTTAATTATTCAGACATCTCCTAGTTCTTCTGGGGATTGGGTGCTATGTGTTACCAAAGGTAAAATTTCCAGATCAGTTAATTAAATTTGCTTTCTTTGCATAGACGCTTTAATTATTTGTGGTCACAGTTCAACTATACTTGAGGACCTGATACCTTTAGTCAGTCTGGCACTTAACAGGTGCCCAATAAATGTATATAGAATAAATGAATATTCATGGACTTGGATCAGCTAATACAGAAGTTATATGAGGTTTTCTGTGATCTTTGCATTAAATTAAAGTTAAAAGTCATTCCCCAGATTTTATGTTTCTGTTTATTTTTAATAATTTAAAGAGCATCAGACATTACAAATATTTTAAATGAATTTTAGTAACTTTGAATATTCACTTTTGGATAGGGAGAAAGAAATCTTCTCTTGTCTTCTTCATCTAAATGGTAACTAGTGAAAAAACAAATGAGCAGGGTCAAGTCCTGGTCCCTGCCTTTAGAAGCTTATATTCTGGGGTGGTGATATAGGGAGGTAAATACTCAAAACAGTGTAACAAATGATTATAATGTGCAACAGGATCAAAGAGAAGAGCACAGCTAATCCTTCCTATGGGAACTGAGGGATGATCCAGACAGGAGGTGGCATTTTAGCTGGATTTTGGAGGGTAACTAGGAATTCCCTTGGGATAGGACATTATAGAAAGAAGATGTGGGAAGAGAAGATGAGCATGAACAGGGAAGAATGAGCAGTTGGTGTTGATGGGGGTGAGTGGCTGGACAGGCAGGTTGGGGTCATGTTGTGAAGAGCCAGCCTTGTACGCTAGGGAGTTTGGACTTTATCCTAAAGGGTGTCAAGGAATGTTTCAAGGGAAGAAAGTAGCATTATCATATTTGTAACATTGTAAGAAAATTTTGGTGCTTGTGCTGAAGATGGATTGTGGAAGGAGAGATGATTCTCTGTAGAGGGATGTTAGAGAGGCAGACAGATCAAGAAAAAGTTATTACATAATCCAGGTGAGAGAGGGAGCATGAGGCCCTAGACCAAGACTGTAGAGATGCAGAAGAAGAACGAAACTCAAGGTCTATATAGAAGGTAGGATTGATAAAAACAAAACAAACAAAAACTCGGGAGCTGATTACCAGCAGGAATGAGGAAGAAAGAAAGAAAGATGATCTAAATGTAGTGGACTTAGCAGATGGTAATGCTGTCATTATAGAGACAAGGCTTATGGGAGAAGGAACAAGAAGAAAATTTCTTGAGGGGAATAGGGGTTTGGTTGTGGTTAAGCAGGGACATTAATTTTGGAATTGAATTTGGATATTTTCAGGAAAATCAGATCTGGAGCTCATGAGAGCGATCTGGTCTGTAGATATATGTTGTGAGTGACATTTCTAAAAAAGGAAAACCATGCTTTTTTTTTTTTATTGTGGTAATCATTTTTTAGTGTATAATTCAGTTGCATTAAGTACATTCATCATGCTGTACAACCATCACCAATATCTATTTCCAGAACTTTTTCATCATCTCAAACAGAAAGTCAGTACCCATTCAACAATAACTCTTTCTCTCCCCCTCCCCTTAGCTCCCAGTGATCTCTATTCTACATCCCGTTTCCATGAATTTGACTATCCTAGGTAATTCATATAAGTGTATTCTTATAATAGTTGTCTTTTTGTGTATTGATTATTTCATTTAGCATAATCTTTTCAAGGTTCATCCATGTTATAGTGTATATCAGAACTTCATTCCTTTTCATTGCTGAATAATATTCCATTACATGGATATACCACATTTTATTTGTTCGTGTATCCATCAGTGGACACTTGGGTTGTTTCCACTTCTTGGCTGTTGTGAATAATTATGCAATGATCATCACTATACAAGTATCAGTCTGAGTCCCTGTTTTCAATTATTTTGGGTGTATACTTAGAAGTGGGGTTGCTGGGTCATGTGGTAATTCCAGGTTTAACTTCTTGAGCAACCACCAAACTGTTTCCTACAGAGGCTGTGCCACTTTACATTCGCTCCAGCAATGTATGAGGATTTCAATTTTTCCACATCCTTGTCAAAGTTTATTATTTTTTGTATTTGAATTTTTTTTGTTGTAACTGTCCTAATAGATGTGAAGTGGTATCTTGTTATTGTTTTGATTTGTGTTTTCAATGACTAATGAATGATGTTGAACGTCTTTTCATGTGCTTGTTGTCTATTTATAAATCTTCTTTGGAGAAATGTCTATTCAAATCTTTTGCCCATGTTTTGAATTGGGTTGTTTGTCTTTCTGTTGTTGAGTAGTAGGAGTTCCTTATTTAGTCTGGATGTTAAATTCTTATCAGATATGTGATTAGCAAATATTTTCTCCCTTTCTGTAGGTTGTCTTTTCATTTTCTTGATAATGTCCTTCGAGGTACAAAAGTTTCTAATTTTGCTGAAGTCCAATTTATCTATTTTTTTCTTTGGTTGCTCATGCTTTTGGTGTTGTATCTAAGAATCTACTGCCAAGTCCAAAGTCATGAAGATTTATGCCTATGCTTTCTACTAAGAGTTTTATGGTTTTAGCACTTATATTCAGGTCTTTGATTCACATGCTTTATTTCTGATAGCTTCCCTTTTCATACCTTTAATTTTCCCCTGCTATAGTGTGATTTTCTGCTTTGGTTTTCTGACCAGACTGACTTAACTTGTTATCATGTTAAAGGGGAGTCATTCAGCTCTGGTCAGTTTCCTTCTGTGTCATAGAGACAAAGTACTTAACCTCTCTGTGCTCAGATTCCTTCTCTGAAAGATGAGGATAGTACTTTTCTCTTCTACTTGTAGCTCACTTATATCATTTAAATGAGAGGATTAAATGTACAAAAGATTTAGCAGTGTCTTTGGAACATGGTAAAAGTTCTATAAATGCTAGCCAGTGTCGTTGTCATTGTCATTATATGCTAGGAATTTTTATGTATTGTAATACTCTTTTTCTTTCATCTCTATGAACCTAGCATGGTGATCAGATAATTAAATATAAAAGAAAAATAGGAAGTTTGAATGGTTTTATTCCAATACTTTTATTGATGCTGATAATGCCAATGTTTTCTTAGACACAAGAAAGTAACTATTTTAAACATTACAATGTGTTGTGTTATAATAACCAACCAAAAAAATCTCCTTATCATAGATGCTGTTGACTTTTTAAAGAAGAAAAGCATTTGCGGTATTTATCAATAAAATCTTTGGCTGGGTAGTATGAACAATGAAGCATATCCACAGAAGAAAAGGTCACAAAGATTGAAACAGAGTAAATCAGATGTTAGGACAAGTGACACAACTTTAATTTTAAATGTATGGAAATAGTTCACATTCAGGAGAAGATGGGTTTAAATGGAGGAAAGGAAGGCAGTGGAATACCTTAGTGGATGTAGCCGATGATACGAGTGGCCCTCCCACTACATCTGAGTGAGAGGCAAGCAGAAAAGGTGACATCTAAGCCTGTTCTGATTGAAATGTGAGCCCTTGTAGCAATGCTGCCTCTGAGTGTAGCTGCCACTGCCCTGAGGTTCATGCATCAGCTAATGGAAAATTCTAGAAGTGGGAAACAAGAGGAAGAAGGAACACACAAAGGAAAGAGGAGTGAGAAGAAAGTGAAAGAAAGGATGATCTGAGTGACTACACCCTTTGCTCAGGTCCCATTCTTCTTTAAGCTTCCTTCCTCCATCACCAAAGGGAGAAAACAGAAACCAAACCATTTACTCTTCCTCTCTGTCTATCCATTTCATTGTCTCAACCCGTAACCTGCAAAGAACTGGATCTTGCTTTACCAAGCCCATCTTCCCTGCTTGCAAGAGGAGGGCCAGGAAAACTTTTAAATGGAGCTGGATATTTTTTCCACCACTACCAATTTTTACAAGTTATAACTCAGAAAGAAAGGGAA